GGGCGAGCGAGGTAGCGGGTTACGGCCACCCGTCCACCTGGTCAGACCGGCGGAGCCCGCCGACGCGCGAGCATACCCCGGCGAGGTCCTGCTGAGGATCTGGCAGCCGCCGCAGCCGCCGTCGCAGCCGCCGCCGCCGCCGCCGCCGCCGCGTCCCGGTGAGTGCATTGGTCGCTCGCCGACACTTAGATCACCCCACGCACCCTTTCGTGCCGCGTCCAAACCGCTCCTCTCTGTCTCCAGTTCGCTTCTTACGTAACGCGCTTCATCTTATATAACGTGATCTCGATGACTGCTCTTCCAAAACTAAATTTTAATTTGTTTTAGGAAAATAGTATTTTAAAATGCACGTGACGTAAAAACTACACATATTTCCTTATATTAGTGTTATTTTAGACTGCACAACTTTTAACAAAATAACGGAATGGAAACTGTTTAAGATATTTGTTAACAAAAAGGAGCATCTCAGCTCGTTCCTTAATAAAATCCCCGAATATTTATCGAGTTTTAATGTAAACAATCCTTCCCGTACATCGCCAACATTTTTATCTAATAAATTGTTAACAGAAAAACTGTATTTTCTGGATTTTTTCGACCTTTTAACAAAATAACAGAATGGAAACTGCTTAAGATATTTGTTAACAAAAAGGAGCATCTGAGCTCGTTCCTCAATAAAATCCCCGAATATTTATTGAGTTTTAATGTAAACAATCCTTCCCGTATGTCGCCAACATTTTTAATTTAATAAATTGATAACAGAAAAACTGTACTTTCTGTTTGTTTTTTTCGAAAAAGTTATTTGCAATAATGCATATAATTTGAACAATTTCGAAGCATAAAAAAACACGAAAATTGTACGCTTTCGCACGTATGTATTTCTGACAAAATTTAGTGATTCTAAAACTATTACAATAACCAGTAATAAAAATAGAATTTCAAATAACTTTTATTGCTCTAGTACGAAAAAGAACATTAATTTTTTTTAAAATATACACAGTAACAAAGAAAACTAAATTTTTTTCAGACTTAAATATAAGACAACTTTATTATTAATGTGCGACTACCGATTAAAAATAGGAATGTCTGCTATGTTAGGGTCGGCGAACTTTGTAATACGATTACCTCTTCTCGAAACGTTTGTTTGTTCTGAATTATTTCAAGAAGTTAAAATTATTAGTAATCGAGGTAAAACATTTGAGTATATAATTGAAGAGCACCCACATCTGCTGCGATGGAGCAAAGAGATCATGATGCGTGGTTGGTGATGAGGGGCCCTTACGTAACCTGCGCCCACTTCCGTAGGGAGTTGGCGCCTTAGCGGCGGCCATCGACGGACTCACAGACCTCGTAAATAGGCGAAGGGCCGCCATTTGCAATAAAAAACAACTCCACGCTCATTCCAATCGGCAGATCATTGACTCATTGCACGTCGCGCTAAATGACTATTGTACGTAACATTGATAAAGTGCGAGTCTTCATGAAATAATAAAATCATTCGTTTTCATACCGGAAATATTCGAATTGTATAATGTGAAATGTAATTTTTATTTGTAGTAAAACAGCATTTCAGCATATTTATTCGTGTACTAGAATTTAATTCTTAAAACATGATCTTAAATCAAAACAATGGTCCTAAAACATATAGTATGACGTAATTAACTATTTGAAAACTACAAGTTTATAATATTGTGTAGCGCATCTCATAAATTAAAAAGAAATAAAATACTATACTTTCTGCAGTACATTAATTCTTTATAAATGCCATATTACGTCCACAATTTTTAAGACTTTGCAAGTACTTGATAATTTGAATACGAAGTGCAATTGGACGAAACGTCCTTCCCGCGGCCCGATTGCGCTGGAGTGGGGTAATGGTGGTGGTGGCCCCGTCGGGATGTGAAGGCAACGGCGCAGCATTCTTACGTAAACGCTGATCGGTTTAGGTCGAAGACTGTTTATATAACAAAGAATGGCCAGCGGATTCGTCCAGGGCCGGCTACTCTTTCGCGCCAATCTTAAAAAATGACCGCGACAGCCCAAGCCATCAGTTGCAAACGTCTGGGCAGTTGACGGTCGCCGGGTCCACGCAGAAGACAATTCAAGGGGTGGGGGAAAGGGGGGAGGTTCTAAAAAGAGTTGCTCAGTAAGGAAAGTCAGCATTAAGGATCATCAGTCATTGGAACAGTAGGCGTTAATTGTGTTTATGACGGTGAATTGTCCAAATTCAACCAACACTTTTGAAACTTTCTAAATTACATATTCGATTGCTTTAATTATAACTCTCTTTCATTAGTAATTTAACTATTTTGCATGAAGCTTGTTATCGACATTTATTTTTTGAAGTTTATGCTTGTTTATTGATAATTTTTGTTTAGTTATTGGTATTGGGGCACTTTCATTATTGTTGAGGTTCGTAAATGGTCTAATGAGATGATGGAGTGGTGGAATGAGATGCAGGGGAAACTGGAGAATTCCGAGAAAACCGGGCAGGCGCTCACTTTACTCAATACAAATTCCACATGAATTGACCGGGAATTCGCGCTGGAAGGTGTATGCGCGAGCCATTTTGCCACGAGTTCCCTTCATAATTATTTCAAACTTTATTTTTTCCATCTACAAGATGTTAGGTGTGGAATAATTTCATAATTCCAAAAGTCCATATTTTAGAGTAAACCACGATCTTGCGAGGGTTATTAGATAAAGCACACAAGACGTTTCCAAAAAGCAATACAAAATTTTGTCAATGTAGCGTTCTGAAGCGGGAATGTAATGTGCGTTGCGGGTTGCATGAGTGTCTGCTTCCCCCTCCGGCGATGGTTTCTTCTGAACGACACTCAACCGTTATTGATTAGTGATTCCGGATGAGTCAACTGATAAGATCATCAATCTCGTGAGTGTAATGGATTTTGTTAAATCTCGAAGATAGCTATTATCTTCCACTGCTGGTTGGCGAGATCCCGTACCGACCTACGTCGCCTTGTAGAGATTTTCCAAACCAGCTTTCTCGACCAGCGTGACACCGCTCCAGCCGGGACAAACGTGGGAGTATAGTGCATGTGAATGTAAGTGTGTGTAGGGCTGAGGATAGGATCAGGAAGAGGAAGGATGGATCGCGTGGGGTCCGTGGCCCGTTTGTGGGTACTGCTCCGCCACTCGTCTGGTACTGATCGGAGAAAGCACGGAAAACTACCGTTCTGAGCAGCCGGGCGCTAGAATTTTCCCCCAGACTGCAGCTGAATTCGGCCTGGTTGGCTTACTAGTGCCATAAATCCTGCCGCCGTCGTTTCTTGAACCCTAGGATCCCCCGTCATCTTTCCAGTGCGCATTGTATATGGAAAGGATTGTACTGAAATAGGGGTACCCTACTAGTCGTAACAGAAAAATTGTAATTGGCAATAAGTGTAATTTACGGATAAATAGGTATTGATTACAATTTAATGAATTGGCATTAAAATATCGTAGTAAGATGTTTTTGCAACAAATATGCTTGATGCTTTAAAGCACATAAGCCTAGTAGGATATGTTTGGAAGTGTGGAATTTATACTAATGAGTTTTATTACACAATTACGTAATTCGATTTTTTTTTTTTTTTTTGAAAAGAATGATGTAACTTGAATGAAATAAGTTGAAATGAATGATGAAATTTAAAATAAATTATGTAACTGCTTAGAAAAAATTATCACAAAATTAAAAAAAAAAATGGGTTATTTGATTGGCTCTTATGGAAATTTGAATCTTGATTTTTACTTATCATTACTTTTCAATCTAGAAAGGTTTTAAAATAGGTTCTTCTATTTATTTGTCATTTTTATGAACAGTAAAAAGTGTGTGTGATGAATGAGAAATAAGTATAATCCATGCATGTTTTATACCTGATAAAGCAATAAATATTTTGTTGAATTTTTTGGCATTGCACAGTAGTTACTATTCATTGTGAATGCTGATTATGAAGAATCGTTTACTATATGTTCAAAGTAGTTTCAACAGAAAACATGAGTCAAGTTACTTAATTCATGTTTTATCCTGAAACCATACAAGTTACTTGAGCACTGTCTGCTGGATGATCTGAGACAAAGAAATCACTTGATTTTTTTCCAATCAGACATCCCAAAATTGCAACAAAAAGAAGAAGTTCTTTAAGAATTAAAAAAAACTCACAGAAGAAAGAATTTTATTAAACAGTTTAATGAAGTAGATTTCCCATATCAAAAGAGAGAGTAATGACAAGAAAAGATTAGAAATATTCTTATCAATTTTTCCATGTATGCAAATCACATTTATTAAATTGGGATTAAATCTATGCCATTGACATGAATTGGAAAGAATTATCAATGACATATTTAATTGACATAATACTGTAATAATCAAAACAGGCATCTTACTATAACTTTAACAATAATTGAAATCATCATGAACATTTAGACTACCCAACAGGAATGCAGTGGCATTCTCAGAACCACCTAGGGCTTACGAAAAATATAAGTTTGTACATCATCGTAGATGCCCACAAATGTACTATTACATCTACTTTAATTTTTTTTTCTTTTAGGATTTTCTTTCTGATTAATTACATTGACAGTGCTGATGCCCATGAACTAATTACATTATCCATGTGCGATAAGATAATAAATAGTAAGAGGCAGGCCCAAGGAATGGGTTTTCAAAAATAGGGCCTTTGCAGAAAATATGTTAGAAAATAAGTGGAATGTCGTCATTTGTCTTGAAAGGTGTATTTCTACAAACATACTTGACAAGTGGGATGTTGATATGATAATTAGAATGATTTGATTCATTGAGCTGCACTAGTTGAATTTCCTTAAAATAATTACTTTCAGAAAAACAATCTTTTCACATTGAAACCAGTTCTTTAATGATTTTTTTTTTTCATATGATCCAGCAGCTCCTCTATAAAACATGGTAACCTTGACATTAGTTCCCCCTTTTCTTTTTAGTGCAATACTTGATTTATCCAATTTATATTACATTACTCTTTTTATAGACAAATGCTATGCAAACTACCACAATGGAACCCCTCATTAATCCAGAAAACCTGCTACAGCAAAAGATGACACATATTACAGTGACATGGAACGATGTATCTGTATGGTATAAAAAAAGAAAACAATCCATGTTCTGGAAGAGAGAACAAGTGGAATACACTCAAGTGTTAAAAAATGGTATGATATCCCATGCTCTAAATAATATTTTGTGAATAAATCTATTGTTTCATCATTCTGGGATACATGAAACCTTAATCTTTTTCAGTTTGTGGAATAGCAAAATCTGGACACTTATTGGCTATTATGGGAGCCAGGTTAGATTTTCACTACCTGCCTATTCTTCAGCATGCTACTTTAGTCACACAAAATAAAACTGAAATTATTTTAATTTTTAAATATTCCATTTAGTGGTGCGGGCAAGACATCTCTGCTAGCAACAATAAGTATGAGGGTGAAAGGTGCTGTTGATGGAGAAGTTTTAATAAATGGGAAGACTGTGGATCAGAATTTCATGGCACATATTTCTGGATTTGTTCCTCAGCAAGATCTTGTCATTAATTCATTGACAGTTCAAGAACACATGGAATTCATGGTACAATTCTATACAAAACTATCTATGTACTTGTGGAGAAATTTGGACCATAAAATCATATTCTATTTATTCTATAGGCGTCCCTAAAAATGGATTCTTCAACCACAGCATTACAAAGAAGGAGGCATATCAGTGCCCTACTTTCAGAATTAGGTCTTGCAAAATGTCAAGGCACAAAGTTGTCATTACTTTCAGGAGGAGAAGAAAAACGATTATCTCTGGCAGTACAGGTAATATTGGTTTGGTTCTTATTTTTTTCTGAAGCTTCAGACACGGGAAAATACTGAAGGGATATATTTATTACTACGTACATGTCATTTTTTCTCCTCAGTTACTAAATGATCCATTGTTACTGTTCTGTGATGAACCAACAACTGGTCTTGATAGCTACAGTGCATCCATTGTAGTGGAGAAACTAAGTTACTTGGCTCAACGAGGCAAAGCTGTTGTGTGCACCATTCATCAGCCAGCATCAGGTCTTTTTGATATGTTTAGTCATGTATTATTACTAGCTGATGGTCGTGTTGCATTTTATGGAGATACAGTATGTGCAGCTCAGCATTTTCGCAGGTGTGAATTTTTGTAATATCCATAATATTTCCTTTTCTTTTTAAGAAAATACTAATTTTGTTTTGTTAAAACATTTCAGCTTAAATCTCATTTGCCCCAAGGCTTTCAATCGAGCTGAATTTTACATTTCACAATTATCAATTATTGCTGGCAGGGAACAAGAGAGTAAGCGAAAAGTAAAATCGATTTGTGATGCATTTGAATCTTCTACTTTTGGACATGAACTTGCTGAACAATTGTCATTTTACAATAAAAGAATGAACATGTTTCAATTATCTTCTGATCGATCTTCCAGACTTCAATCATCACATTCTAGTGATGTAAGTGTAAGAAGAGAATACATATTTCATTCTTCAATAAAATTCAATTTACTTATTGAAAAAATATGACACTAATAAAGTTAATGTTTATATTCTAGAACATTGCCGATTTCCAGAAATACACAGAAATGTAAGTTTATCACGTGGAAATTGTATTTAAAAAACGAAAACAAAGGTCTTAGAAGATAATCTACAGTATTTCATATTTATATTGAAAATACCTTACAAGAATATTAGTGCTTAAAAACAAAAACAAAAAAACAAAATTCTCTCAATCATGTCTTATATTATAAGAAACAGAATCTTGAATGTACAGAAATCAAAATATATTGAAAATTAAAACATAATAACAAGTCTGAAAGTTATAATAATAATGAAAACTCCTTTCCTCGTTTTTATATACGGTATAACCAGAAAGTATAACATTTTTGTGCATACACAATTTTTATCTCCCATTTTTTTCATTCATAGATGTAGACCAGGTTACTTAAAACAACTTTATTGGCTGACTTGGAGAAATGTGATTCATCTGTTAAGAAACTCCTCAAATCTGTTACTTCGTGCAATTTTGTACCTGGTAAAGCATGAATATAATTTGAGTTTTAATAGTAACAACACATATTAATGATCCAGCCAGTAACACCAATAACATTTTCTTTGGTTTCTCAGTTTATAGCTCTCATACTAGCTACACCATATACAAATTTAAAAGTTGATCAAACTGGAATACAAAATGTTCAAGGACTTATGTATCTCATAGTAACAGAAACAATATTCACATTCTCATATAGTGTGTTTCATACTTTCCCAAGTGAGATACCAATTTTACTTCGAGAAATTGCTAATGGGATTTACAAACCTGGTCCATATTACATATCAAAGATGCTGGTTTTGGTAAGTGAATAATATTGCTGATAATTTATTATGTAATAGAAAAATTAACGTTTCTTTCAATTTTTTTTTTCTTTCTTATTTTCGTCCTCAGATACCCCGAACTATAGTGGAACCATTCTTATACTCATCTCTCATATTTTGGATAGCAGATTTACAAGGAGATGCTCGGGTGTTTTTACTATTTTGTTTAACTGTGATAATGTGTGCAAAATCCTCAGCAGCACTTGGTGTGTATTTCTACACAATCTACACAATACAAAAATTATTTACTACAAAAATATCAATTACATACAAAATATCTTACTTTGCTTTTACGTTTTATAGGTTGTGTTATGTCTGCAGCATTTGAATCAGTAGCTACAGCATCACTGTTGTCTGTACCAATAGACTTTCTCACATTAATTTTTTCAGGCCTGTTTCTTCAGCTAGGGTGAGTACATTAATATTGCATTAAAGAGTTAGTAGCAGTCACTGTCTGTCAATTAATATATTGTAAATATTTTGGTAGGAGTCTTCCAGCTTATTTATCTTGGCTTCGTTATGTATCACAATTTTATTATGGTACAGAGGCAATTTCTATTCTCCAGTGGGAACAAATTCATAACATTAGTAAGTATTAAGACCTGCATTGAATTCTGTTGCTAGTTCTTTACTTTTATGTATCAGCTTTACGATACATAATTGACATTTTTTAGAATGTCCTGATAATCCTGAACTACCATGTATCTCCAGTGGAAGAGGAGTACTAGAAAAGTATGACTATGGTCCGAATAATTTTAGTATGGATTTACTGGGACTTTTTGCCATCTACAGTATATCTCACATGGTGGGCTTTTTAGCCATTTGGATTCGCAGTACAAAACAACCTATTTACTAAGTCACATGAAATTTTACCGATATCAACAAAAGTGTAAAAGTGTGAAATGTAAAATAAAAATCAGGAATTTTTTTATCTATTGTTTAATTATCAAGTCTTATTACTTAAATGTGTTTTTCCTAGCCTGTCTCCATAATCCCAAACATCCAATCACATTCAAAATAAAAAATATTAATACAAGAGCAATTAGATCTCCTGAAACATTTCCTGGAGAATATCCGTAAGCTTGTAATACCTGAGTTCCATTTCTTAGACATGGCAGTGATTTATCTTCTGGACAATCTGTTTAAAAAAATAAAAATTGGTATAATTTTATTACAAGAGGTAATAGTTTGTTATAGAATGTTATAGTTTTAGTTACTGATGCGCACCAAATGAAGATGAACAAAAGAAAATAAAGTCATTTGTATACTTACCAATATAATCAATGTTTTGCCAATGGAGAACCAAAAGCACTTCATTTGTATAGTGGAGCTGAGACAAGTATTTTATCCAACTGATTACTGATGGTAAACTTCTAAAATTGTGTGAAAAAATCATCAGAGTAAGGAACATCTTCATGAAACTTTTATAACTGAAGCCCAACTCAAAATATCTTTAAAATATTTCAGAAAATGATCTATATTACTATGAACCTGATATTGAAGAACATTCCTGCCATTAACATGGTTGCAAGATCCACAGGCACAGATATCACAGATGCAATGTTAGGTGACTGAAATACAGCAGATAATGCACACCCTGTCCAAAAACAATAATAGATTATTTTCATTGTCATATTCATATCATTCAATAAAGTCTTAGCAAATTCTATATTATTTATCCTGAGAAACTATTCTGAATACAACAAAAGAAAACAATTTAAACATCACATATAGCCGAAGTAACAAATGTGTAACTCTAATATCATTCAAAGAATTGTTTAACTTGCTTTTGATACAAAAAACACACAACATACTATATTTTATATTTACATTTTATTTTTCCTGGCACATTGTAAATAAATATCAGCTTTTGTTGTTAAGTTGATCAGAGCATAAATAATGCTTTGATGAATAAGAATGTTATAATATTCACGAAGGTGAATGAGAATGAGAGGCTGAATTCTACTATGATTTTGGGAGTCAAAATTAAACTTCCAATGATGTAGAATGTACACATTTTTTAATCTTCTCTTTGTAGGTAGCTATAGGTCCCATGAAACTTCAGCCCTGTGCATATATAGCATTGTGCAATTCCTCTCTCAAGTTTTCCAACAAAACCAATTTATGAAAAACGTTTGGGAATTACTCATGAAAGGCACATTTTGTAAGTTTTTTTTTCTTGTTTTGAGACCTTCCACCCAGAATGTTTCAGTAAAATTATTAGAAAAAACAGTCTTTCAGACACGGCACATTTAGTCTTTAACTTGTAAAATTACCTTAATTTGACTTAATTTCAATTTATACAAATATTGTTCACTTAAGAGAATGCATTTTGATAAATTTTTATAATTTTGTTAACAATAAAGAAAATTCAATACATTACCTGATTCTTTTTATTCAATAGATTGTTCTAATCGAACCCTTGGAGTTACATCCAAGCTCACAATGTATAGAAATAACTTGTTGAATATACCAACTTACCGTAGGCTGAGGCAGAACACGCTGATATTAGTAACGGACCAAGTAACGTGAAGTACGATAAAACAGGGCATCCACAGAGATATTGTACAATGCATATAATTGCTAAATATATAGCTGGTTCTATTACAGTTCTTGGAATCTGAAAACATTAATTTTTAATGCATTGTTATGATAGATGAGAGAAAAAAAATAAAGGAGTTATAAAAAGGTTTTTTACTGTTGTAATTATCTTGGCAATATAATAGGCAGAAGTTGGGTAAAGATCTTTTTCCTTTGTAAATACTGAAATTTCTTGAGGAAATGTATTAAGGACTCGATATGTGGAAGTGAAGTAAACTTCAGAGGAAATCAAATACAGCAAACCATGAACATCCTGAATACCTTGCTGAGTATGTGTGAAAATATTTGAATAAAATATTGCAAGCATTAAAGATGTTACCTGTAGGAGAGAGTATGATCAAGAGTTAAATGAAAAAAAATTATTTGGATTTTATAGTATTTATATTAAATACCTACAAGGAAAACAGCAGCTTGCTGAAAATGTCCAAGTTTTGTTCTTAAAGAATCCATTACATTTCTCCATATTAACCAATATAATTTGACCATCCAAGGAGACTGATTACTGATACAAAGAAGAAATTGTTGTAGAACAAGTCTCAAATTCCTTCTTTAATACCAAATATCAATTAAATGACCCTAATTCTATTTAAATATACAACTTATCATTTAAACTGATCCAAATATTTGTCATTCCCTTCTTAAAGTGTTAGGGTACTTGTACATTTGATTTCCAAATTCACAATTTTTCCTCTCTGCTTTTATTCTGTTGTTATCACTTCTAGAGATAAAACATTAAGGAAAACTATTGTGAATTGTATGATTTATAAGATGCCATCAACAATAAACCCAGTAAATGTTCACTAATATTAGATAATACATTTTCCCTTAATTTATACATCAGAGAGACCTAAGAAATAATGAAGAATTTTGTAGCATGTACTATCAAGAAATTAGCAGGTACAAATTCTTACATAAATACATACAATCTGCAGCACACATTACACTGCAACAGACATTATCCTTCTGCATGACTCAAAAATAGTACCTATGTCCCAGACCTTTAAAACCTTGATTCGGGGAATGACTAATGTATCTGAGGTTGTAATACACAAAATGAGACTTTTCTGGCCTCTTCTATTACTTTTGTTTGAGGTTTAGTTCATTTGCACTTGTAGTATGCATGGGCAGATATGTAGAGAATATTGACAATTTTTTTCATTAAATTGAAATTTTGATATTCCATGAAATATAATCCTTCCTAAACCTTCCTGTTTGTTAATACATGCTTAGCAATATTAGAATGTTTACCCGTGCATTGACCTTTGCCTGTATATGATGTAAAATAGGTTCAGGGGCTGGCCTCTCAAAATTGTGTTACAATAAGAAGTTATTATTACTTTTGAACCAAAGATTTACAAAATGCAAAATGTTCATGTGGTCCAAGTAATTCAAATTGCTTTAATTCTTGTGCACATTTTATTTTTCTAAACAAAAACCAATACTGCAATATTTGAACTTATTTTTACAAAAAAATATATAATTAGTAAAACTTACAACGAATTATTTTTATTTGCTGACTGGTCCTGAAAACACATGATTGCAAATGATTATTCAATGTTTTGAAAACTCCCAATATACATTTAAAAACATGAAAAATAGATTGTTCAATTTGCTTTTGCTCTCACTTGATTGATCCGATCATCTTCATTACATCTTAAACTTTCTCCAAGGTGAGATTCAGCAAATTTTTGACAAAAATATTCATTAGAAGCAGTACATGAATCCTCATCTCCAGGTACTATTGCAAATTTCGTTATGAGAAAATCAGCTGGATTATAGTTGGAAGGGCAGGGAGATCCTAAACTAGGTATAAACATACAACAATGTTCAGTACCAAACACAATTGTATCAATTAATGCAGAACCCAAAAGTGTATTGTTTTCACTAACCTTGAAAAGTAAGTTAAGACATGATTAGTTGGTCCATGATATGCTAATTTACCATTGGTCAGAAGAATAATTTGATTAAAGCAAGTGAAAATATCAGAGGCAGGTTGATGGATGGAACACATAACTATTTTTCCTGCTTTAGCAATTATTTGAAGTTTTTCAATAAGAAGCAAAGCATTGTAACTGTCAAGTCCTGTTGTAGGCTCATCACAGAACAAAATTAGTGGATCATGGAGGAGCTGCAGAAACATTCAATGACATATTGGCATGTGCATTTTAACTATTGTAAAAACATTTCCAATATTCCAACAATTCACCTCCACTGCTACAGACAGTCTTTTTCTTTCACCCCCAGATAAATATTTTAATTGAGTGTCCTCTTGTCCAGAGAGTCCCAGTTCAGTCAAAAGTTCTGATATCCTTGTTCTTCGTTGATTTGACTTTATGCTCTTGTTCAACCTCATTTGCGACTGCAAAAAATTGGTTCCTGACAAATAAAATGTATTTGGAAGGCAAAACTGCTTACAAAACCATTTCTTACCATAAAGAAACTATGTTCCATTGCTGTCAGAGTTGTTATTGCAATATCTTTCTGTGTTACAAAACCAGACACTTCTATTAATTCATTTCTGCACACAATTTGAGAATTAAGAAAAATGCCACCTTCCACTCCATCTGCAAAATTGAAGAAGACCTTCACTCAAACGTTTATGAATAAAGAAACAATTATTATTTTAGAAGCCTACATAATAAATCAATTGACTTAAAGAAAACCACTTAGCAGTTGCGATATCTAGAAAATTAAAATAATCATGTGATTACAAGTTACTTCACTATTACAATAAAAAGGACTTGGATATTTCATTCACTTTCATCACATTGAAAACCAACAGATTAATATTCTTATTTCTGTGACATTCTTTACTAAAATTGTTCATTCATTCAAACAATTTTCAGGTGTTTATGTTTGCAGATGTATATCAATAGGTTAAAAAAATTACCTTCCACTCTTTTACTGACTGCATTGAGTAAAGTAGTTTTTCCACTACCACTGTAAAAAGACCCAATACTGTATTAACAATTCAATAAGTTGAGATTTTAGACATAAGTATTCAAAATAATTATAATAGATTGAATACGAGTAATGTTGTATATAACTTCTCATAAGAGAAACTAAGGGTATAAAGAAACAATGAAAGTTGATGTTAAAAAACAGATACAATACTCGTAATACATGGACACTGCTTTTAACACTGTTATCAAACCTTATAATTATTGTCATTGGCTATTAACAATGAATTGGAAATACGTCAGTATTGTTGTCTGAAGGTCTGGTATTAATCAATTTAGTTAATTGAAAAATCTATAGAACTCTCATGAGCTTACCTTGCTCCCATCACAGCCACTAAAGATCCGCTTTCAGCTCTCCCATGCACTATAAAAATATGAAATACACCTCATTCCAAAAGACTTAAAATATCTAATATTTCATACATGTATCACCTCTCATTTACCATGATCCAAGATTCTGAATTCTTCATATATTCTGGAACAATTTTGGTTTTGGATTATCTGGTTAACAAACTCCATTCTCCCTACATTTCTTTGAACTTTAACACTTATATCATGCCAAGAAAGTGATAAATTGCTATGATATTCATTCATTACAATATCATGATTTCTTAAACGAGACAAAGATGAATTCATTGTTTAAACAAAATTTAATATATTCATTCAATAATACCCAGACTATATATTTACAATAACGAAACTTTCCGTGGAAAACTTCCAGGTTTACTTATTTTACACATGTACGTACTATCTCGCTCTTAGGTTCCGCTGTATGCGGTAGAAAAAGTTGAGAATGGAAACAGCTCGCTGGCTTACTCGAAAGGGGGCCAGTGTAAATATCTTTATCAAGAGACTCAAGCTTCTGGTATACCAAGTGTTTTCTTCGTCAGGCACCAGTCTTCGTTTTATTCCTTAATGTAGCACTGTTAGATTTTTTTCCTCACTTATGCAGCTCTAATCCAACCAACAAAAAGCAATTAAATGATCGGCAGGTTGTACATCTACTGGTAATTCGGTATTTGAAAGGATTTCTGTGATTGTATTTCTTTCTTCGCAATAGTAACAAAACTATAAGCATTCGGAGATATCACAAATTAGACAAACTCCTGTTCCCTCGCGGATGTGACATTCAGCTGAATGATTATTAAAGAATTCGTGGTAAATGACATGAAGGAAATAGAGGTGATAAATCTTGTTAGTACCTGCAGCATCAGCACTCTTGAATTCTCGGAAACCCTTAAGACTGCATTCTATATACCAGGACGGCAAATAGAGTCGGACGACCCAGACATTAATAGAGTCGGTACGAAGGGTAGGTATCAGTGAATTCGCGAGCGCAGCCATAAAAGCAACGTCAAAAAAGAAAAGATTTGTAGAGAAACTACACCGTTTACTCGAACAAGGCCTGGAACGATGATACGATTTTCAAATTGAATGTAATACTATCAGTGGGTGTTGAATATTTTAGATTTTTTGACCGTCTGATGAACAAACAACGATGATTTTGTTTATGAATGACAATGCGCAATGTCACCGAGCGACAGTTGTTCGCGATTGATTTGAAGAACATTTTGTACAATTCGAGCGAATGATTAGCCACCCACATCGCCCGACATGAATCCCATAGAACATTTATTGGACGTAATCAATAGGTCAATGCACAAAATCCTGCACCGGTAACACTCATAATTATGGTCGGCTACAGAGGTAGCAAGGCTCAATATTTCTGAAGGGGACTTCCAACCACTTGAGTCTATCACACATCGAGTTGCTGCAATTCGCCGAGCAAAAGAAGGTCCGACACGATATTTGGAGATATCCTATGACTTTTGCCACCTACTAACACTAAGTTGAATAGGATTATTGTAGGATATCACTAGGAAACTATGGACGTCTTTAAATCTTCTGCGAGAGGAAACGGAAAAAATTTATAAATTGGATGTAGATTTTTCGTCGCGATAATTAGAACGAATCAATTATTATGAGAAAAAATGCGAACCGCGAGCATGTTGTTTGCTGTACGGAATGAAGTAACAAAATAGTGAGTGGAAATGTATTATTGGTCGTTTTCTGCAATCAATGAACGTAAGAACAGCACATAATATATGGTTTAGCTTTTCTGCCTCCAAAAATCAGTGTAATGCAAACCATCACATGAATACTTTGTGGAAACCAAAGAATGGTATTCGGATGTCTAGAGAACGCCATTGCTTAATTTCTACATTTTTGTGGGTTGATAGTGAAGTATATCACATACAAAACACGCATACATAACAACAGTAGTTCATTGTAAACATTATAACAATGTTTCCCAAATAAATACTCGTACCAAAATCGTGCCGAGAATCATCCGCGTGCCTGGAAAAACAAAGTGCAGTTCGATTTATTGATTGTTAGTGATTCCGGACGCGACAACGGCCAAAACATATGCACTACACTTACGGGTCTAATCAACAAATTAGGTGACGCGGCCGAGTATACAAAATGCTGCTCCTTACTGTTACCCGGTTGTTCTCTCACTGCCAGGGGTGATTTTTTCAGGCGCATTGCAAACCATTGGTCATACATGGTATGAAGCTCATCTTCAGACGCGGAAATATCTTAGTAGTTCATGCGCAGGTAAGAACAGTGACTGAGAACTCACCTTTGTTAACACATCAGCAAACCTCACCGCCGAGAATAAATCTTATAGAGTTTAAACGAGTCGTTGCTCAAAGAATAAAATGGTTATTGGAGAAATAATCGTAATTCACTATTTATTCCTTACATACAACTTGTAAAATGGATTTTGAGGATCAATAGAAGAAACAAGTCTGCCGTGAAATCATGGGTAGGGGACTTTTAGCAAACGCTCCGTTAAGAAACGCAGGCGACATAGATGAAAGAATCGAATTTCTAACAAGGTGCATTCAACATGCAGCATGGGAAGTAACAACTTCTTTGTCCTGCTTCAGACAATATTCATATGCTTCAAGGGTATTGGAAGCGGTAAAAGAGAAGCGTCGACTAAGACCTGGTCTCATCCTGTTTCCTAGGCACACTGGGCCTAAGTATCACGGAGACAAAACTAATGTCAATGGAACACCTTTCCACCTAAAACAATCACTACAACTATGATTGAAATTATATATAAATAATTATTTCCGCCAATATGTTCAATCCTTAACGACAACAACAAACTATTCAATCCGGGAAGCTAGCAAAAAATAAAAACGTCCAAACATGCAATTTTCGCCTATTCGGAAAACAAACGGTATCTGGGTAAGAAGTCCAAAGGACAAAAGTGAACGTTTGGCAGAACCCTTCTCTACTGTACTTAAACCAAAGCCCTCACAAAACGCAAACGAATAAGGAATAATCCAGAAATGCCCCCTATAAACTACCATCTCCAATAGAACCATTTTCTTTGAGTGAAATAGAAAAATCCGATAAACAATTAATTTACCTGGATGAGTCTTGGCTATGATCTCATCACAGGTAAAGTACTTCAAGAACTACTACGAAATGCATTTCACCACCTCTTTCTTCAACGCTATCCTTCGATCAACCAATTTTCTAGCCAATGGAAAGTAGCTCAGATAGTTGCTGTATTAAATCCGGGGAAATATAAAAATGAGACCGCATCTTACCGCCCTATAAGTCTGCTCTCAGTCTTATCAAAAGCCATTAAAAAACTCCTATTCCAACAACTAAAGCCTCTTCTCAAGGAAGATGAGAATGCTGGTCACCCCATAGAAGTTACGTGCACCTACCCTCGATTAATATGACTGAGCCCCGGTGGGTTGCATGTTCGCGTGGTCCCGAGGTGACCAATTCGCGACCAAAAAAATGTTTCAAAATTATAAAATACTTTTATTTCAAAATAGCTTATTAAATTAAGGATCCTAAATGCAAAACTCACAACTGGAAATCCCGTATGGGCAGATCTGTTGACTCACGAAATATAAATTTTCTCACATCATAAGCTATGACAATTTTCGTATAATAAAATTATAAATAATAAGTTGACAAGGTAAATGACTTAGGCACAAGCCGGCAAATATTAGTAAATTAGAGAAACTAAAAGGGAGTGAGGAATCGAAGACTCATATATGAACTACAGTAAGCTGTATTACTATTTTCAGTGCGTGATAGTAAGTGAAAGATGCAGAATGCGTGAAAAAAACTTGAAGTTACAAGAAAACTATGTAGCATGTGAGAGGCATCTATGGCTTCCTAACTAGCTACAAATTCGAAAACAATGAATTTTGATTGAAAAATGCAAATATTTGATTGTGTTATTCTTTCCATTCTCATTCTACACATACACGATTGCATTCTCATTGTCAGTCCGTCAACTGTTTATTGACTGATTGATTTCGGGCGCTTAAACTGCTATGGTCATTAGTCCCGAACGTGGAGTATATTTTTTCGAGAGAAGTTGCGGTGATCTTCCCCCGCTGGATGGTGAGATGCGGCACCGACCTGACTGTCGGCTAGCGCAATTCACTCCAACCAGGTATCTCCCACCAGCGGGGCAAGCTTTAAGCTCCAGACCGGTCACCTGTCATGTGTGGAAGTAAAATGCATGTACGTGTAAGGGCCTGTTTCACCAACAGCCGAGTAAAGTTGAGAGTAGTTACCCGAGAGTAAGCATTTACTCTAAGATTGTAACTCTCGAATAGGAATGTGAGCGTTTCACCATGCTTCTAGAGGGTTATTTTTCTATAGAGTACATACTCTCCGATTTACTCCTCAAATCAGCTGAACATACAATATTTGAGAGCGATTCAAGAGGCTGTGAGCGAGAATGACGCTGGGAATCAATGCGGAACAACGCGAACCATTGATTAATTCCTTATATTCTATCATTCATTTCAGTTTCGGAGTTCTTGACGTTATAATCTGGTGTGGTGTTATGGTGGTTGAGTTAGCATAGTTTATTTCCTAGTTTCTGCATCTTTATTTCTTAATAAACATTCATTCTTCTTCTCTGGAGACGAGTTACCATTTTGTTAGCAATGCTGAAAGATCAAATTTGCAGTTCGTTTACCGATGGCGGTGCAAATGAATTTTCGATAACTAGGGAACGAAAATGTTTAGTTTTTTAAATGTTGCTGATCTCGTGTTTTTTCTAAATTTTATGATTATTTGTTGTTTTATTTTTTAAACTTTTTTTCACCTTTCAATTATTTGTAGTTAAAATGTTGGAAAGGGATTCTGGAACTCAAGAAAACGTGCGCAAATGATCTCCCCCATACGTCACATACAGTTTTTACTGAATTAATAAATAAATATTTCTTAGTACGAGTAAACGTTTCTTCGTACTTGTAGTCCCTGTAGTTATTATTTTTCCTTTTGTTGTCGTATTCGGTAAGTTTTGTCTCTTTGTTTGGTGAAACCGGCCGTAAGTAACGTGCGAGGATCAGACAAGGAAGAGGAAGGAAAGGTCGCGCGCAGCCCGTTTGTTAGGGTGCTGCTCCGGCATTCGTCTAATATTGATAGGAGAAATCACGGAAAACTACTGGTCAGAGCAGCCGGCCGCTACAATTCTCATCCAGACAGCGACTGAATACGACCTAGTAGCTAGTATCGAACCACCCTTAGGAATCGAACCCAGGACCTCTCAGTCAGAGGCACTGCAGTGACATCAGTTGATGGACTGAGCCATCTCTTCCGGCCTCAACTGCTTACGATATAGCTGGCGACTTACAACGGCAAGTCTTCAAGGAACAGACCCGCAGTCATTCAATATTTGCTATTCACGTGTTGCATTACGAAACAGCAATTTTTTGTTATATAAAACACCTCTGTACTGTGTACATACTATAGTTATGTTGCATCATTGTTATTGCAGAATTCGTGAAGACTGTTTTTGTTAAAATATTTAATTTATGGCGGTAGGGTAGTGTTTTACTTGTTATTCTTGAGCAGTGTACTTGCTACTTTTTAGAAAGCCTTATTGGGTGGCTTTATTCCGTAGCTGCTTTGCTGCTGCAGGCCACTAGTTTTTGCTGTTGGGAACGGTGACTAAAATTTGTCCTAGACCAGTGAGGCATCCAGTGACAACGCAATCGTTTACAGGAGGCATGGCTAGTCTCACTTGCGACACCGCTCGTTACATTACGTCATTTCACCGCCATTTCTGCCTCCAATGATACTGCCGAAGAAGAAACTGATACAATAATTATTACGTGATGATTAGTGATAAGAGTATGTTGTTTGCGCATAGTGGTAGACAAATGCACGTGCGACGCGTGTGACATCAGCCGGTAGGGAAATAGTACTGAAATGACACAGTACCGACATCTGATATCACGATGCGGTTATCCACTTCTTACTGCACCTTGTTCTTTTGTGGGTGTATCTTTTTCCATTCTCTTATGTTTCTTTGGAGGTAGGATACATCTTAAAAATACGTTATTTCCTCAATAACTAGCGGGTGCATATCCCCAAAAATACAACGCTATATATGGTCCATGTCATTGAAGGGTTGTGTTGACACGCGTTAAGCAACGCGCCTTTTAGATGAACATATATGTGGAACGGCCAAAGCACTCGTGTGCCATTTTAATGAAGATTCTACGACATGCGTTACTTGAAGCGCATCAACCCAACGCTCGTGTACAGAAGCCCTAAGATATTTTACTTAGTATTCAATCTCTTGGTCAGAACGTTTACTGGATGTGTCCTTTATTGATCACGCAAGAACGTATTGGTAAGGAGTCTACCCTGGTTTAAAATGGTGATAAAGTATTTAAATTTCTGAAGACCAGTCTGTCACAAATCCAGGCAATATTAGCGAGCTACGCTTGTGAATCGATATTTGAGAGTTTCCAAGCGAAAGTAGGTTTCATTACATCCGAGGAGTTTCCGAAATTGTACAGTGACTTAACAATGTTTCCAGATTTTCTTATTTACCTTCAGAACCATCCTATCCCCCCCCCCCCCCCAAAAAAAATACACCCTTCAGCAATAGCATGTTTTCAACTTCCAGTTTTTAAGGCATTGAAAACTCATCAGAAGCAATCAGTTTCAGCAATGATTTTAAGTTTGTTAAGGTTTCTCTTTGTTGAAAGATTATCCATTTTCTTGCAAAAGACTGCTGTAATGCATTTCAAGTAAAGTTAGAAATATTAATTGTACAACAAGCATACTGATAGCCATTTATTTTTAGAAATATTTTTTATTTGTATACATAGTGCAAAACATAACAGCTGTACAATGAATAGTGCATATCTTATTCTACACATTGGATTGATTGGCACTTCCGTAAAATTAACATCTTGATATGATATTAACTGACATTGATGGTTAATGGCAAATCTACACAATATGATTTGGTGGAAACTTACAAATGCAGGTTCATCTTATGTTAAGTTCATAAAATTAATGTGAAAAATCCAAAATTTAAATATGTATTTTATAACTATTAATATATTTCAGTCTCCTTTTGAAAGAAATTATCTAAGAACATTGCAATAAAAATATGGCACTAATACAACTAATTTAAAGTAGCTTTTAAATAATCAGCTCTATTAGCTTTGATCTTAAATTTCTGTACCATTCTTGGATGACGCAACTTCACAGAAACCCCATCTTCCTTCGATTTTGAAACTGAAGAGCCAAGACTCTTCTAATAGTATGCTTACTTGCAACTACCTTTTGGAAAGTTAGAACACTCCACACATTCTTGTTGACAACAGTTCAAGAAATTGATTTTAAAGAATGATTCAGAAAGTTATAATCTTGCAAATGTTACAGATACATTTGTAACAATGCATCTATATTTAAGTGTAGTCACTTTATACTGATCCAATTATTACGTCCTGTTCCACTATACAAATGTGTGCTCTGTATGGTAACAACCATTTAGCCACAAATCACACCACTTGAATGTAAACTTGAGCATTTAGTGATGCTGAATACTTTTATATTTGTAGGTAAAGTCAAAACCAGAGAAATGTAGGTTTTAAAAATCCATATGAAAATAAATTATGATTCCATTGTAACTTACAAATTGCAATTTAACAATACTCCCAATTTCAGGAAAAGCAAGCTATTATATTTGTCAAAACCTTAATCAAAACATGCAATGAACATTCACAAATCATTCAGCACATTCATAAACTATGATTTTACTGTACACTCTCATACTACAACATTTCACATTCTGTCAAGAGTTTGAATGATAAAAGAATCTCTAAATAAAAAACGGGCATTTTTGAAAAATTTAAATCTTTAACAGTGGAAGATCACAAGAAAATAACGTTCACTCCATCTGTCTTTATGAAAGCTGCCCACACTAAAACAAATCTCAGCTGCTCTGTTCAGTTCACTTACTACACTGGTGGTTTAGCAGTTTAGTAGGTAACAAGTTAAGTACACACATCAAATAGTTCACTACTACAAAGCAAGCGTACTTCATTTCAGTGTGACTCTCATAGCGAGATATTAAACATGCATTATATCTTCAAAATTTTTCTGGGAAAGTCCAGTCCTTGGTGCACCATCATGTTATATACTGTTGCAAGATTGGAGAGTAAATTGATGTGGTCCTTCGCCCTCCAATTATTGGAGCTGCTTAAATTAAGGGCACTGTCAGCAAGCACAAGATTTTCCGCCACTCTTTTCATCTTTTTGTGCTTTGCCATCCAGAGCAAACTTGTCATTGTCTTTTCCATTTTCATTGTGTATCAGTTTGTCGTTTTGAAGGATCTGAAATGTCAAAAAACAAAACCTTGTAATTTTTGCAACTCCTAAGATCAGTTATTACAGAAATCAGTAATATTATTTACCTTAGTAACTAAACACCTCGCCGCATCTTCAATATTTATATTCTCCTTAGCCGATGTCTCAAACCAGGCTGAAAATCCTTTCTCCCGACAGTACTCGTCCATTTTGGCAGCATTATTTACAATGCCTTCTTTTTGCTGGTCACACTGAAATACAAAAAGCAAATTACATTGGACATTTCCAAATAAAATTCGTAATTTCACGTTTGTCACTGCACAATAAATGCATGCAAGTAAGCAGTGCTATAAAATTTAGTAAAAGTTTTCAAACCAAGAAAACGTTTAAATCTCTTAGACTCGCTACTTCAAACTTATTATCCACTGTTTCTGAAGATTTTGTAAACACTGTACAATGTGTGATTTATTTGATTTTTGAAAGCGTAAGCTTCCACGGTTGGAGTCAGAACTAACTTTGCTATCCAGGGCGCAGGCGCCAACGTTCCCGTCGCCAGTTTGCGACCTTCATTAGGGCGTAGTTATTGCGATAATGCGATATTGCCCTGGACGAGACATCTCCTGGACAGCCAAGTAAGTTCAGTTATTGAATTGAATTAGTAGGCAAAGCACAGTAAAAACCCAGAGCAAGTACTAGTGTGTGTGTGTGTGTGTGTGTGTGTGTGTGTGTGTGTGTGTGTGTGTGTGTGTGTGTGTGCGCGCGCGCGTGCGTGCGTGCGTGCGTGCCATATGGGAAAATACCGTCAGCGCACGTCTTGAGCGCCAGAATTTCTTTCCCACATTTTAACTATAAATTCTTTAATTGTAGTAAAGTTTCTAAAAAGCTTAGATAGCAACGTTTGAAAATAAACATTTTCGCACTCTACTTACAGAAAATTCAATTGTATCGGTAAACGAACTGCATATTTTAATTTTTTTTGTATTGCTAACAAACTTATCACACCCCCGGATCTACTACTACCATTACCAGCAAAAGGTGAGTAACAAAACTTGCGCATAGTGAAGCTGCATTTATATCCAGATGTAAAACTAGGGGGCCTTATCGTCATTTGCTCAATGGAAGAAACTGGACAAAAACCTGACCGAAAGGGGGGGTCCTTGACTGACCCATATGCTTGCGCATGGTAACAATTTCGAGCTTAAGAATTTGCTATAAAAGATCCTAAATTTAGTTACAGTGCCTATTCCTATTTTTGAAGAAGTCGTGTGGAGATTAAGTTACGTCGTAAAAGCTACGTGTGAGCTACGCACCTTATTAGCCAGCAGGACACATGGGATAGGAGAGCCGTCAGCCAGTTGCACCTTGGCATCCAAATCTTGCTTCCACTTTATTACTGCATCGAAGGTGGCTGCTCTCGTCACATCGAATACTATGAAAGCGCCAACTGCTTCTTTGTAATACACCCTCGTCATATTGCCGAAGCGTTCTTGTCCTAAAAGAAATATGGTCAATGTTACAAAAATTCTACAGGGCGGCATTGGAGCCTGATGCATCCTTATCGATTTATGTTTGAGGATTTTCTGTCCACTTAAGTACTGAATAGTACCAAATGCCAATTTGACATTGAGAAAATTTGAGCGAAGGAAATCGAATTTGAAAATTTCGAGCAAATGTGTATTTCAAAATATGATTACTTTCCACAAGTTAAAACCTTCAACAATTTTATTTGAAATTAATTTTTTAACCTTCATTAGAGAAACAAAACGGCTAAAACAATACGCCTCAGACATAACGATATTTATTACACATACCAGCAATATCCCATAGTTGCAGTCTGATTACGGTGTTGGCATCCCAGTTTAGCACCTTCAACGCGAAGTCGACACCTATTGTGGCGCGATAATGTTGTGAGAAGAACTGGTGAACATAACGCTTTATGATCGACGTCTTGCCAGTGCCCAGCTCGCCGATCACCAAGATCTTGTACAAGTGTTCGCGTTTTTCATTCACCGGCTGCGTCTGAAACAATTGAAATTCCATGGTTACACATGTTGAAGTAAAAATGTACATTACAAAGTCAATTTCGAAGGTTTACTTTCCATCTCCACAAGTACTCAATATTTATAGGATATTTATTGATAGACAAATTGCAGATATGTCTGACACAAACCCTTAGATTTATATATTTCTATGTAAAGTTCCGCAGAGTGCTTAGTGAGCAAGAGAAAATGAAGCCATTTCGAATATCTAAATTTATAAAAAAAAGTACGATAACACTTATGACCGTTTGTAAATAGATATTCAGTTTGGCAAACAATGGAGACAAAATTAAGACGATGCAATAGTCAAATGTCTTATAATTGCGATTTCGCGTATCAAAATCATTTAAGCTCTAAAAGAGATGACTGATCTCTTTACTGCGTGTGTACTTAATGAAATTCGTGTCTTCTCAAACTAAATTCCAAGGCTATCATTTCTGCGATCCTCACCGTGATTAAAATATAATTTGGTGTAATGTTGGTAGATCATTTAATGCAATTAAGATTGAAATTATGAAATGCCAGAAAATTATTACAGATCACCAAAATGTCTATTAGAAGCCACCCATTCTAAACAGACTACACTACGGCATTCAAAAAGCATTTTATTCTCCAGAGTAAAGTAGGACAATTTTGGAGAATGTTAAATTAGATTTCTAGTCGAGATATCAAAAATGTCAACATGTATTCAAAACATTAACAGTATATGTGAACCGAGTGTAGTCATACGAATAGTTTAAATAACAAATTGAGGTATTTCCGTGGTTAAATAAAATGTTTATTTTCGATAAGGTTTATAAAAAATTACAATTCAAATTAAATTAACCCCGTTTTTTAAAAGGTTATATAAGGTGGGTAAAGGTAGTTACATCGAGTTCACGAAAATTATTTTGAGATCGCAACTACAGAACTAGAGATCGTAAGTAATTTCCGTTCATGCAAGGTTTGAAATTGCGCACGGGATTTTGCAAAGAAGTCTGGGAGGAGGATCTCCCTGGCTGCGGAACACGAGCGCCTCGCGAAGCCGTTTGTTTTCGAAAAAAGTAAATCCTGTTTCGGGTATCTCCTTCGGTTACGCAAGGAAACCTGACTGGTTCACGCTGTGGTGGAGGGAGGGCGAGGGGCGGAGATGGGGGGCGGAGATGGGGGTGGGGGTGGGGGTGGGGGAAGCCGGCGACCTTACGTAAGGCGCGAAAGACGACACCGCTCTTCCGCCCCCAACCCCCCAACTCTGCCGCGGGCTGGACTGGGGTGCAAAGAGTCTTGCATCACGCTTTTACCATTCGCAGTGGCGGCTTTCGGCATTAGTCTCCTACTTCTCCTCAAAATTCCATTGTACAAAATAAGATCTACGTTTCACTTGCGACCCAAAACATCCTTAAACAAATCAAAATCATAAATCAGCAATAATTTGTCCAAATTATGAAATTTTCATGTTTTCAAGTGTTATAAAAATAGTTTAAAACAAAGTTTTAACTAAACAAGAGTAGACTAAAGAGTACAGATGACAAATTTATCTACTTATTTCTGGTGATGTACAACTTCATTGGGTTATTTGAAAGATACCGACACTTCAATATCTTCATTATCCCTTAAATGCAGATTCGCTCTTTCGACAGCCAACGGTTCCTCCTTTTGCTATTAATGCAATACACCCACGTACATATTCCTCGCACGCGTAAGTGAACATTAACCCTTCCTTTGGCAAAAAATGTTTTCTACTTCCTGGCCTGGCGAGTGACTACCCGAGCATGGAAAAAAGTCGTTTCGAAGCTTTGCGTAACGAGATGTGTACTCGAGGCGTCAGGCGTGCCTCCGGTCGTGTTTCGCGGCCGGCGGGTGGCTTGTTCTGACATGGGCCGCAGCCTTCCGCCGGACGCCCTAAGGTGAAAGCGACCTTCTCAACAGGGCCGCACGCTGTCATAAAAGTTGTGATACCGAGACACAAGGGTCCTTCTGTAACCGCTCGCGCCGGACTCCCAAAATTTTGAAATTTATTGTAAATGCTATGGTGTTTGTGTAATGGGTGCCTAGTGGTCGTCTGCGAAGGTGTGGTTTTGTTGCGTTGAGAAGTTATGTAAAAATCTACAAGAAAAATGAACGTTGAAATTTAGTGAATTTAACATTGTTAAAATTTCTGCATTTCAATAAGATGAAATTTCATTTACCCGTTTATTAAAAAAATACTTCCTTTACCTGAAAGACTTCGAATTTATAGTATAAAATGTACCACACTTCCAATTTTCTTTCAAAATATTTAATGTATTTTGGGAGTATGTTTACTTTGAAAGCAACTCATTACAACATTTCTTACAAATTTGATTAGCACGTAATCAACTCATCAAGCCAATATAGAGCGAAATCCCATAATGTTATTGCCACACCATGGATCAAGTTTCTTAAAAATCAATACTTTTTCACAAATGACAATACCTCCTAAAAGTTATAAAATTTCTCCAAACTATATATAGATAGAACCAAGAATATAAGCAAATAACGAAGTACGATCAGAAGTACCATTGCCCATAATTACTACCAGTTCATGAATAATATTTTTAAAATGTCAAACTTCACAGAACACACATCACAGTATTGTAAAATTCTATAGAAACACTTTTTGCATACTTTGCTGACAAATCTCGTACAATACAAGTTCATTGAGCATTTCAGTTTAGAAAATTATATAGTCCTTAGAGTCTTCAAATTTAAGGACCCTATAGAAGATTGAATACAGATCCTTAGTATTCATTTGCACATTTTACTATCTGAAAATTTACATAAAATAGCTAAAAATATTTCGCGTCGGTCGGTGATCTTTCTTTTTTGCTGACTTGCCCATTACAACCACATTATGGGATTTATGTTCTTATCGTGTGCGAATTTCGTCGTTTTTTCCTGATCGTGCTGGCCTCTCTCCAAATGTCCATCATCCAAGGGCATCGCACCTGCCCATACGCCAACGCGCCAGGCCCGCATGCGTCGATCGGGGGGGGGGGGGGCGCAGGGGCTAAGGGAGGGGAAGGGAAGGGAAAGCGAGAGAAGGGTAGAGGATGGAAGTTTCAAGCGGCACATGTTTACGAGCCCGCTGTAAGAGGTTCTGGCTATTTCGCCAGCGCCGCGAGGGCGACTGCATTTCGAGGCTAAGCTACCGCACGGAGCACGCGCCTCCCCGCCACGCTCCCCACTCCCCGTCCCGCACCGCGCGAAAACACGAGCGAGCCCAAGGGGAAGAGCCAGGGCGAACCTATGCAACCCACCATAAATACGCCCGTAATGGAATATTCAGTTGGCCCAGTACCTTTGGTGAACGCCGCTCTACACGAAAGTTTGGACACGTAGCGGAACGAAGTCTGAAGTTTTAGGAGATGGGTTAAAAAAGTGAGATATACCTAAATTGCATTTCAATAAAAAATTGAGGACTGGAAGGATTCGACAAACTGCAAAGAAGAGTTCAAGCACAAGAGTGTTACTGCCAGTCATTGGTACTGAAAAATTTAGAGAAGTAACAAAAACCTACAGATTTGTTAAAACGCCATTGAGGTAGTTCATATTAAATAATGCTTGTTACATGAGCAAAGCATTGCGACATACGTCTTCGAAGGATTTTACGGTATGTCCCAGATTAATTCAAATGGAACTGACAATTTCAAATTTAGAGAAATTGCAAGTGTTACAAAATCAAGAAAAAAGCGTCCACGGGTCAATGTTCGTAACAGCATTGGCCTATCTCCCTACACTTGGTCGAGCCATCCTGTTCTTCACAAAACCCACCAGGAGAAAGTTTGCAGACGTGTTCGATAGCGCCGAAGAGCTTCCTGGCGCGGCTGCCACCTGAAGGGCCTTCGCACCCTATCTCCTTCGCCATCTCCCGCAGCCGGCAGTAGAGGCCTCGCGGACGCGAGTTTTCTCCCCGGGCGGGCCTCAATATTTATGAGCCCATGAATACCGGCCCAGGCGCCGACCAGCGTCGCCACACACAGGAGGAAAAGCCCACTGCCAAGCGACGGACAAATAGGGAAACGCGGAACACGTGTGTGGAGCAACTGATCGAAATGGATGAATTCCACCATTTCAATAGTCTAAGCGAACCCTTCATCTATTGTTAACTTTATTAAGGAAACCGAAGGTAAGTCGAATGGAAGCATGTCCAGTTCAAATAAATTATCGTAGGATATAATGTTGAATACTGCGAAATTACCATTTCAAAACTATTGTGAGAGTAATGATCTGTTATTCCTCACATACGTCTGCCTCGACATTCATGACAAGCAACGATTTATCTGCTTTGACAAGCCATTTACAATGTAAACAAGAGTCAGTCCAAATCAATTTGTTCCTTTCATCTTTCAACAAGGTTTGAAAAAATATCTACTCGAAAAGCAATGTTGGAATTTGTCTTTAACAAAGTTCTTATTCGATTGATTAGTAAATGACCAATTCGCAACATCAGACACCATATTATATATATTAGTCCTTTTGTATACGATTTTATGTAATTCATACTTCAATGACCTTATGATCATACCATATCCAATTTTTCCTCCCGACAACTCCCCATTCTTTAAATCTTGACGAGATTTTCTACATGTGACAATGGAACACTTAAAAACCAAAGAAAGTCCAGCAAAAGTAGGGAAAGTTCTCTTTCACGAGCTGCGCGCCAAATCGCTTTGCTACACAACCCCAAGCCGTCAATGGCCCCGGGCGTTACTGGGCCACCCACTAACAGCCGCCCCGCGCCCACTCGCCCCACCTGGGGCGTTTTGTTTACACTCATTAGTTCCGGCACGGGGGCAGGGAGGCGCGACCGCGCTCATCGTCTGGTAAAATAAGTTAAGGTTCCTCCTCGTTACGTAACAGTCTCCAACCAACGGGAATTCCGGCTATTACACGCCTTTTGAGGTGGTTTGCGGACGTTACGCGCTGCAGTGAGTTCGGTACCGACTAAACACCGTTTTGACCTTATCGCGCGAACTGGGCGCCGAGGGGAACCTGCGAGGAGGCGGCTTTGGGTAACAGTCACGGAAAATTACATGTAGCCACTGATCTATCCCCTGATTCAGCATCCCTACATTGCACATACACAAGTTTCCCCAGTAGGGAAGAAGTCAGAAAGATAACGGAACATTTCCTGTCTGATAAAGCAAAACCAGGAATAATAATATCCATTTCAATAAAACAAACTTAGTCACGTGAATAATGTTTCTTAGTGAAATTACCATATCGCCATTCGTAAATCTAACTTTTCAATATACTTTCACTTAATGCAATTTTGAATCTCAATTCTTGGAACAAAAGATTATAAACAAGTTCGCTTTTCATGTTATTGTTTTGAAGAATTCAGTTAACAGTAAACAATACTGTCTAAGGAAATATTTGAGACGTTTCCATCATTTCTACCATTGCAACAAAAAATTGCGAAGACAAATTAAATTTTCAACAGTTTACCAACCTTCAACAATCAACATTCCTAACATTCATGAACTTGCGGCCTTCCTGTTAGAAAATGTGTATGAGGCTCTTTTCTCATCTCTTCATTCGAATGCGCTAAAGTAATAATACGTTCCCACACTTGTCTCGCCGCAGGACCGCTTTTGCGTGAGCACACGACCGCCGCAGCATGCAAGTGAAGGTCGCGTGACACATGAGCATCGCTTTTACGACCCACTGCTTCACCTTGAGAAGCAAGTACATCGAGAGAAACCACGTGGGGTCCCGAGATAACTCTCGCCCCACAAACTCTTTCAGAGCTGAGAACCTGAACAATGGGCTGTGCACAAGCAGCGACTTTCACTGGCTCCCAACGCCCAATGGAATAAAATTTCTCATTTCTTAACATGTAAATTACGAATTTTGTATGCACACGATTTAAGTTCTAAGAAGTTAAAGATACAATTTACATTGATACCCTCAGTTTCAGTTAATATTCATTGTAAATAATTACAAGAAATAATTTTCATAACTTAATTAGTAAGTTTTTTTTCTATTATGTAATAATGACTAATCTCTTAATTTCCCTGTTTAATCTTCAAAACTATATTTACAACCTTAATTCACAATAGAGGTTACGTAAAACTAAAACAAGTCCTGTTTCGTCAAAACTTGTCATCCATAATATTACTCCCCTATAGTAAATTCAGAATACTTTAAATGTCATACTACGAAAAATAAAACCGACAACAAGTCTTAATTTTAAATTACACTAGAAAGAATGGGGAGTTATATCAGGCGATAATAGAAACTTAACGCTGAAATTAAATTACGCACCAGATGGGTTAGAGAGCAAGAGCCCGATCAGCTCCGCACGGGGCCCTGCCACTTACCACCGCTTCGGGGCTGGCGGAGCCGCCCAGGCTCTGCGAGAGCCGAGCGCGGGCTTCCGCCATGACGGTGGCGGCGGACGGCGGCGGCGTGGACATGGTTTCGCTCGGTTTTTGCACGTCGACCTCGTACTCTTCCAAGTCCCCGAACTGCTCGTCCTCGGGATCGTCCGCCGACGCGGGTGCGGGCGCGGGCGCGGGCGCGTCCGAAGTGCTCGCCGACGTGGACGGTTTGGGGCCGGGGACGGACGCGGAGTCTGCGGCTGCGGAGGCCGCTGCGGCGGCGGCGTGGGCGACGGCGGCGGCGCGGACCTCTTCGAAGGCCTGCTGCTTCTTGAGAGCGGGCGTCGTGATGGACAGGATCTGGCTCTTGGTGGTGGCGAAGTCCACTGCGGAGGCGGAGGCGGAGGCGGCGGAGGAGGAGCTCAGGCGCTGGGACATGAACGCGGCGGAGGCGGCGCGGCTACTGCCGGTGCCGGGCGCGTCGGTCGGCGGCGTGGCCTCGTCCAGGCTGGCGAACGCGGACTGGAAGGCGGGCGACGCCGGCGGGGAGCGCTCGGCCTCCAGGGGCGCCGCGGCGGCTTCCTCGTGACTCTGCGCTTCGGGCACCGTCTCCAGCAGGGCCGGCTCTCTGTCCTTCCGCGGCGCGGCGCTCTCGAGTGGTTGCCTCGGCGGGGAGACGGCGGAGTCCGCGACGGAGGGGGCCTGCGATTGGCCTGTGAGCCCTTTATTGGCGCCGCCGGCAATTAGTCTCGATTGGCCGGCCCCCGGTGGAGGGGGTTGCGGTGATGACGGCGTCGCCGGCGGGGGGGAGGTGCCGGAGGGCGCGTCACCCAGCACCGCCCCGTCGTCGCCCTCGGGCCCTTGGCGACCCTCAGAGGTGGTGGAGGAGGCCACGGACGGCGCTTCGTCTTCGGAAATGTCGGTGCGGGATGCGGCCGGGGACAGCTCGGGCGACGTGGACGTCGGAGACAGCGCTCGGGTGGCCGGCGAGGCGTCTTTGGCGGTCTTGTTCCGGTAGCGTCCGATACTCAGCTTCCGCACCAGAGAGGTCGCTTTACTGACCTTTGACGATTTCGAGAGGGACTCCGTCGAGGCTGAGATGCTCGGTGACGTGACCGGTCCTTGGGGTTGTAAAGTTCCAGTTTCAGAGGGCGACTTTCCACTAGCCGCTGCCGCGGCCGCCTCTTTCTTTTTGTTCTTCTTGGACTTTTTCTTTTCTTCCTTGGCGCCTTCTTCGCCAGACTTCTTCCGGCCTAGCTTGAACGAGCTGTTTCTGCTTACTTCGCGCAGACTACTGCGGAAGGCGTCCAGTTTGCCTACGCTGCGCGACTTGGGGATGGCACCCTTCGGCTCGGCGCCCACCTCGGGGGTCGATCGGGCACTGTCTGTGTCCGGGGAGTCGACGGTCGTCGGGGACGGCAGCGACGGCCATTTCTGCTCTGACACTTTGCCCTCCATGCTGGCGACGGCGGGTTCGAGCGGCGGCAGGCGATAGGCGAAATCGAGCACGATCATGAACGTTCGCGAACTCTTGCGCACCGGCCGGTCGTTACGTCATCACACGCAACAAACAAAGCGGAAGATGCTGCAGCGGGTGGTGTGCACACATAAGATCACTCGTGCACTGACAAGCGCGCTCTGGCGGCGGCGCGGGAGACTGTAGCGAGCGGCGCTGCAGGTGGCGAGCCGAGCGAGTGCGAGGTGAGGAGGCGAGGCCGTGCGGACAGCGAGACACACGGCCGAAACGTTGACCGGGGCGGTGGGAGGGGGGGCGCCGCTGCCGCCGTGGCGGGCGCGCTGAGGAAGGGAGGGGAGGGGAGTGGCAGGGGCCGAAGGCGGGCGGCGGCGCCGCGCGAAAACGAAAAACCGCACGAAGGGGGGGGGAAAAGGCGCGAGAAGGTGGAAGCGAAGAAGTAAAGGCGAAGGTGGAAAGAGAGGCGAGGCGAGGCGAGGCGGGGCGATGCGGTGCCGTGCCGCCGCCGGAAGATGCCGCGAGGGAGACGGGCAGGTGCGAGGGCGGTGAAGAGGGGGAGGACACAGCGCCCCCGGAAGAGGGCTGCTGATCGCCGTGCCACGTGCTGGGAGTCGTGCGAGGGCTTCGCGCCCCACCCCTTCCCCCGACGCGACAGAAGCGCGGGGGCGGGTCGCAAGTGGAAGAGGCGGGTAACCACGACGGATCACAAAGGAAGGAAAGAACGGATAGGGAAGCGTGGACAGGACCGATAGGGAAGCGTGGTAAAGAGGAATTACTCTAAGAAGGGACCAGATTGACAGGTCGGGAAACAAATGAACTTAATGCAGGGTTATGACAACGCAAGAGACAGTGCCTGGACGTAACTTGTAGTTGTTTTGCCGGCAGGGGCCAAGTAGTAACTGTCAAAGCGGTCCCTTCTTGTAGTAATCTCCATTACCACGTCACGACAGCACAGAATGCGTACATAACAAGAGGAAATGCCCATTCATAATGCAAACGTAAACGTAAGCATAACGCAGAGACGTAACATAACATAAGTGATAGACTGAAATGTCTAATATAAACGTAAGCAAAATAAGAGTTTCTATTGGCTGGGAGACATTCTAGTTTACTATTGGTTGCATGAGAGGATCAGTGTCGAAGTATCGACTCTGCCCATGGCCCAAATGGCGTTAGTTTGTGTATCGACTTCACTCCTACTTCGATTCTCGGTTTTAAGTTACCGTACTGTGATTGGTTCATTCTTGTTGTCTTTCTTAAGTATAAGCACAGAAACGTCAGGCATTTAAGTTACTGTCTCACGTGTTATGCTTATGCTTACGCATTGTGAATGAGTCCGCTTGTGGACGTAGTCCTAACTTTTATGTTAATGCCATGCTTATGTTTATGTTTGCATTGGGAATGGGCCTGAGCGGTGGGGGAGGCGGCGGCGGCGGCGGCGGTGCTTGGGAGGAGAAGCCGAGGGGCGGCGGAATCCGTCGAGTCAGCGCCCGCCTCGTAAACGCGATCTACGCGCCTTCGCGCCCCCTCCCCGGCCCCTCGTGTGCCGGAGCGAGGAACGATTCCCTTGCGGATCCGCCATGGGAGCGCACTCTGCCCTCGCGGACATTACGTTCTATTTGGGTCACCGACTGCGAAGCACCGAGGGGCAAAGGCCCGGCCGCCTTCACGTTTGCTGAGATATCAATGTTTATGGAGCCCTACTTCAGGCACCCTAAGCATAGCGCCCAAGGCCGCGTAGCTTTCCGTCTGAGTCCATTGGTGGAACAAGGATGGGGAGGGGAGCTGTGGTCAATGCCCCCCGCACGAAGCCATATTTGTAGTGATTTTATTTTCTCAAACAAATATATATATATATATACTATATAATATATATTATATATATATATATATATATATATATACAATATTATATTTATATATGTGTGTGTGTGTTTTGGTGTGTGTGTGTGTGTGTGTGGGTAATCAAATCAACCAAGTATCCCATTACAATATATACTTCCTATTTCTTATTTGAAGGCAAATAACACATTTTGCGAATTGCCCATCCCCTCAAAAAATTGACCGCGTTCCTATCTGGCCCAAATATTGGTAATGGTATTGTTGGCTATTCCCAATATGTGGCTTAAAACGCTAGCCATTACCGTCGAGGGTCCTCACAAAAGGTGCTATTATAGTAAATAAAAATGTTGGTAATGAACAACTTCCCTTTAAACAACTCCATACTAAAACCAAGATGGATTTATATAAAATCTGTGGTGAAAAAACTAGGCATAGGCGGTTTCCTTAACTTCAATTCCTTCTTTGAATTTCACGATTGGCCCAAGAATATCATTACCGATAATTATTGCCTATCTACCATCGGCCAAGTAATGGCTATACAGACGTAAGAATTACTTAAATATACCAAAGAGTAGCCCTTTCAATTTCCATTTGAATACAAATTTCGAATGCATTAAAATACATATGCTTCACAGATATTCCCCATACAATGGATCAATTTCCATATATTTTTTTAAAAATATCAACAACAAACTTTGTGCAGAGATTTTTGACACATTGCATCGAACTCGCGCAATCGAAATCACGTTGGATTGTATAAATTTTATGAGAGAGAAGATAATGCAGTGTTATTCGAAGCTCACTGAAGGGATTATGTACAAGGGAAAGTTGGCATGCTTGTTGCAGATCAATCTATAACTGTGAAGTCCTCTGGTAATCTAGGCAGATGTTAAGCAGATTTACTTTTCACACGTGTTAATTATATTGACGTAAATTCACTACCTCCGAGATTAGTTTTTTTCTTCAGAGACGTATATTAAAATACCCCTTAATTACTCTAGCACGACAAACTGCATTAGACAAATAGATATTCTATTTTGTCTCAAATACTCGCCATGATAGTTGGCTGATAAAATAATAATATAAAGTAAACACTGAAAACATTTCAATGCAAAACACTTTATTTTCCCGCAATTTCATCTGAAAGTTATTACTATGGGAATAATATACGATAATTGACAATGCTTTCCTGTAAGACGAAACGTGGATTGCCAGTAAGCAAGCCTGGGTAAATTCCCTTGCTTTTAACCATATACACATTGGAAAATGTCACGCATGCTATTTCTTAAACCTGGTTTCAAGTGGACTTCAATTTTAAACAGATGGTAAAAGTGAATTTAGGTTATTTGTAAGTTTTCAATATTAAAGTTAAAAATATCAGGCATTCGCCAAAGGCATGGTAAAAAGGGAAAGAGTTCGTATATTTCAGTTTCTTACTCCCTCAGTTCGCGTTTGAATTCCTTACATGAGAAGTATACACTTTTGGTTATATTTTTTTCTGATTCCTGCTCAGACTTTGGCCAGAAATTCGTTTTCAAGTGTGCAACTTCCGGAAGAGAAAGTAATGTATGCCCATTCTTATTTTCATTGAAAAATAATTTTAATATTTCATATAACGATTAAAAATTACTATAATCAAATCATTACGGCATACGTCGTCGTACACATGAAAAGACACAATCTAAAATATTATTTTTCAGAAAAAGCTCGAGAAGTTTATTACCTGTCAGACTTTATTATTTCATTCATAAAATGGCTTGTTTTAATATTGTTAACTAATTTTTGTAAACTTTCTACGAGTAAAAGATAAACAACTTATATATTTCTAAGCAAATTTCTTCCTTTCTCCAAATTATGATTTGTTATAAGAAGTCTCTTTCTAATACAGTAACATTACATTGGACTCTCGGATGCATGGATCATTAATGATTTTTTAATACTTTAAGCTACCACGTAGTTTGGTCATGTTAGCGTTTTACTTAATAGAAAGTCTTCGCAATAGGTTCTGTAAATTTATTGAACTCCATTTTGTACGCTGATATTCACAAGCCCGCTCACATACTGCATGGAGAGTCTTGACAGAAAACGTCGAAGGGAAGTGAGAAGGATTTGAAACTCTGAAGAAAATCTCTATAGCATCTTGAAAACTAATGTCAATTTCATATTTTTTTTCGTTTAAGAAAAATAGATAACGGACGTACTAATGTCACCAGGGCCGGATTAACAAAAGGGAGGGGGCAATATAATAGAGTAATATATTAGTGTGAAGAGCAACACGTCAGATCCATTTTACGGCACCTGACACCAAGTCACGAACGACATTTTCCATCAATGCTTTTGAGTTTTTTTTTCCATCGATTTTTCATAGGGTTCAAATGGTGTGAGAGACCTGGGCAACAGTTCTCTGCAGTCAATCTTAAATTCCGAGCCTGTCACTCTCGAACAACCGATACTTTGAAAGGCCACATCAATTTTCAAGAACCATTTAAGTTACGACAAATGAAAAGTTAAGCATAACTTTTTCTTGCCTGAATATATACTAATATTTTGATAAAAACAAATTCTAATAAGGCTTGATCCGACATCTCCCATTATTTGCCAACGCACCCCGGAAGATGGCGCTGACAATCATTTAGTGGACGCGTCGTAATTCTCCGGGGGCCCGCGTCCGGGGGCGGCGCCGCCGCCAGTGACGACCGCTCCGAGGGAGAAGAGGGCGGGGGTTGGGGCGGCGGCCTGTCTCCTTTACAGGGCTGCATCAGACGCCGATTCGACAAGGGCAGGGCGGGGTTCGGAGGCGGGGGCGGTTTAACAGCTTCACGCCAAGATTGATTGCGCCCAACCGAAGAAGTAAACAAGCCAAGGGCGCTTCTTGAGCCGTGCATGCGCGCTAATGACCGGACCCTTCCTTTCGCCTGGCGCTATAATAGAGCGCTAGTTGGCTGAATGTGTCGAAAATCGGTTCTTTAATAACTCTTTAATTCCAGAGTCTGAGCAACAACTGAATAAACATACTTCTCATTAGGTGGCGAAGTTGAGGCGTGTTACAGCTCGAGTCTTTAACCGCCTTGGTAAGGGAATTTAGGTTAAACAAATTAATTCAATATTTCAGTTATGATCATCGAGAAAGAATCGTTGAGAAGTTTGGCATACTTTATTTCTCACTCCCTCGTTTAAAGTTCTTGGTTTGAATTCCACCCCAAGAAGTACTAGGCTTTATTACTTTTTATCATTCCACTGAATTTGACAGGAATTTGGTGCTCCTTCTCTCCGCATATACCGAAAAGAAATACCAACAATGCAATTGGAATTTAAGGAGAGTGCTTTGCCTTTGGGAATGAAGCGATAGAATTTCAAACACAACAGTTTCTTCAATATAAATAGTAATGGGAAATATCGAA